CGCCATCATCAACCAGTTGCCAACTCTGTGTCTCGTGTTTATCTTCTAAACCAAATGTATCTTCCATCGAATAGGATGCAGTAAAATTTGTATCAGTTATTGTTAAGATATTATTTAGTCAGTTTAAAATACGTCAAGAGTATGACACATGACATGAAAATAAAAAGTTCATTTAGGCACTCAAGTTGCGAGTGATTTAAACCAAGAAGCTTAAATTATAATATATATTTTGAATTAAAGATATTTAAAAATTAGATCTTTTTAAATCTATGAATACATTAAATTAAAAGTGAAAGGAGTATTTTTAATACTGGTGGTTTTCTTCAATTACTTTACATATTAATAATATTTATAAAGCCATTAAAACTACAGAATTAATAAACATTAACACCAAACAATACTTTATATTTATTTTTTAAATAAAACATTATTACCTTTTCATTCTCTTTTGACACCTTATATATATGTATTTATATACAAGGGTGTAACTCAAAAGCTTTTGTTGTCGCACACATAAATAAGAATTTTAGCGCCTCTGAGTATCCGTAGCACTATCACATAAGGCGGGATTTATCGCGCCCCTTGATTACGATTTACTAAGGTCTATAAGTTACTGGAGATGAGCGATACACATCTTTTTAAAAGTGTGCCTTCTCTGTAAAAAAATGAGATGAACGAAATGAAATATAAAATATACAGTTCGTGAAAAGGAATTTTCTTTAAACGAAATATGTCCAAATCACTGTATATATTAACAATTGTCTAACGCTATATGTTTATAATTTGGATCAAAACCAAGCTTGATAAGGGACGAATAAGAATGTTTTTATGTTACTCGAGACTTGAATGCGACACATTTTAGGAAAGATTTTTTTTCCTTGTCGTGTCTTCACTCACACGAAAGAAAAATAAAGTGGGCATAAAAATTTCACTTATATCAATTAAGTGAATTTAAAACAGTTTATTTTAACATAATTATGGTATATTAACCAGTTTTTTTGGTAACCTTTATTTATTTGTTAACATAAAAAGTTTCGGTTTTTATTTTAAAACAAAAAACGCTGTCTTACTTTATTGAGTTAAACAAATTGTGAAAGAGATCGTATAAAAACTGTGTCCCTTCTTCATTGGAGGTAAGTGAAATTGTTAGGAATTAAACCTGTTTTTTATTATTTGTTGGATAGGGTACACCAAAGTTGACTCAACTGGATAAAGATGTGTTTTTTTAGGCCAAATTATTGCTTCACCAACTTTAATAAATTTTTTTAACTAAGAGCTTTTAAAAACTATTTCAAAAAACTTTGCTTATTAGTAAATAAATAATTATTTATATGGTAATTATTAATTATTATAGAATAATAAATATTGAAGTTTGAAAACTAAACACTTTTGGTTTCTAAATATACATATGTGTAATATAAATAATAATAACTTTTTTCCATTTAATTCATAGCTAAACTGGCACATCTTTAATTTGAAGTAGTATAATTGGGTTTATAGTTGTTGCATATCAGAAAGCATAAAAGTCGTTGTCGACGGTACTACATCTGATCCCAATTCTACGTAGGTTCTTCTCCTATAAGGATGAGTTTTTATCCACGATATTATATGTATTAATGAAAGGTGATCTATGGGAAATATGAATTGATTTGATAAGAAAGTCGCGAAATCGGGATAAAAATTATCTCGCCCGATTTAAACCGCGAGCGGCTTGGTTCAACTGGCCAAGATGGTTTGTTTTACTGGTGTATATGGTGATCGTGTATCAGAACCTGAAAAAGAAGCTAAGCTAGGCCTAAGCTTTAAAAAAGGTAGGGCTGGTCAAGAAAATCAAGCTGTCGTGAAGTATCTTATCGCAACATGTACCAAGACTCGGCGTTGACTGAAAATCATCGAGAAACTGGATTATTAATCTGGGGAAGCGTCTAAACCAAGCGTTTGGGTGAGCGCAGATATGTACTTGGTTCTTCAATTTTTGTAAGCTTTTGACCAGGACTTCCAGGAAAAGTAGTAGTCAACTTCTTCCTGTGGGTTCCAAGATAGTCCTGAGATTACTCTTTTATTATTAAATCTAGAATTTTAGTTAGACACGCACGAGATGTCAGTGAGTAAGTTAGACGGACGTCGTGGTGTGGATGGTGAGATGTCATTAGAGGGACGCGACAAATCTCACTTTTTACATGGTGTGAATTTTGATGTCATGGATCAATCGGGAACTTAAATATAAATTGTTTATATTGTGTATTTTTTTTCTAAAGATTGTTTATACTAAAAATATCCTCAAACCTTCAATGCTATCAAAATGCTGCACACAATAAAATTAATGTATCTGAACAAAATTTAACATTACATCTTTGGGTTTCACAATTAGCAAAAGATATTGACACTATGTGAAAACAATATTTATTCACCAAATAGATACAAAAATATTTGGTTCTGTATACATAGGCCCTAAGAGGAAATGGATGTTATATGTAAAGTGAAACAAAAGCGAAAAAAACTACTTTCTATGTATATAAACTTATAATCACATTAATATTTATAAAGAATCAAAGTTTGCTCTCACGAGGTGATTGCTAAAACTCATATTAATAAAAAAATTGAATTAACACTAAGTACGATGACATAATAACTCTTTTATGTAATATTTACAAGCATATACCTACAGGTATATGTAAGTCTTAACTTTCTATCAACACATCATAGTAGGATATCTGCAGTTAATAAAACTTGTTAAGTAGGCATTTTTTTTAATATGCATTAAATATTGGTTTTATATTTTGATATAAATAAACTTAAAACGTAAAATCTTCCACAAGTAGCGATTGTACATTTTTTACCTTAAGCAATAGCCTTGTCGTAAAATTAGCGGCGACAGTGAAACTTTCAGATATTATGGGGTAATAAGCCGGATATGGAAATCCGTTGGCAACAGAGATATGAGAAGTTTTTAATAGTTGGAACGTTATGTTCATACAATTTGTGAACATTGTAGTGGCTTGGGAACGATGCCAAAATTATAAACTCCTTTTATTTCCTAACAAAAGATAGCCTTAAAAATATTGTACACCACATTATTACTTAAATGAAAAATTTTACTACTAAAAATAGATTTTACTTTTGTACATACATACTTTTTATAGTATAAATTAAGGCATTTCTGCAAATATTGAAATATTTTTTTCTTATAAAAATATTATCTCGATGAAAACGTATTTTTAATAGTATGTTAGTTTTGTTTCAACAAATAAAAAAAATTATTTAAAGTATATAATGTTATGTAAGATAATTTTTATTTTTACCCATAATACTCTCTCTTTGACTTGTAACACATTAGGTATAAATCAACGAACCAAGTTTAGGAAGTTTTTAAAAAATATTTTAGTTTTATAAAAATATATTTTTTATTTTATCATCAATATGGAGAACATTTCATTGCACATTTTTAAATTACACAAAAATGTATTGAAGTGGACTTGGTGACATTAAAACGCTGGGACTAAAAGCAAAATAAATTATTAACTTCGCGTTTACGATAAAGTTTTTAACTTAACTATCCATATTTCAGACGGACGCGGAAAATGTGGCACTTAGTTAATAAGAACATGACTATTTGTGCCAAGCATAAATATCAAAAAACAGTGGAAGATTTTTCTCAAATCAAGACAAATATTTTCATTTCAAAAGTGTTCATAAGGATATTTTTACTTAACTAACATTAAAATAAAACGATAGGTAATAAATGGTAAATATATGAAAGTATTTATAAAAGTTTTGGTGAAATGTCCGACAAGGAATCGTTTTGGTCGCATAATATATGGTATTTTTCAAGTTCAGTGATAAGTTTAAACTTCTTATCAAACCAAATGAGACAAAACCTTAAGTTATTTTAACTTTGTCAGAATATATAGTTTTTGCGTTATTCTTCTTTCATTTTTGAATACAACAAGCGCAATTCACACTCAACCCAAAGCAGATATTTAGTCATCTATAAAAGTTTTAATATATAATTTACGATACCAATGTGTTCCCTTTTTATTTTTAAATGCAGACGTTTAAATTCCAGGAATAAAAGATAATTAAGCAAGCAAGCTAAATAAGTACTAAAGTTCACCTTAAAGAGCTGTTTATTATGGAAACCATTAAGTTGTCCCATTTTAATGACAAAAAAAGGCTAAATGGGCAGTTTAGATTCGCAGTCGTCGTAATCCGGTCTTAACTGTATAGATTATCATCTCAATGTTGAAAATAAAATTTGGAAAGTGGCAAGTAACAAAGCAATTACAGTACCACTTTGGTATGTATGTACTTGGTTTTCTTTCGGTCATTCAAAAGACATTTTTGAATCAAATAAAAATAAATAAGCAGACTTTTTAAATTTTCTTTACTTCTTTTTTACACATTAATTAGAATTTATCAATTGGGAATCTGCGGTTTTCAGATTTCAGATGACCTGTCGTATTAATACATTTATTACTACAGTCGTATCGTTTGTTACGCCATCATTCTGCATGCTGATACTTTTGATTTAAGTCAAATTTCTACGAGTCCCATATTCATGAAATATATAAGCTGAGAGGCTGCTCATCTGATAATAAAATCACAATAATTTACTGAATTATTTATATCCACACATTTGATCGCTTAAGAAAGGATTAACAATGGCAAAATAAGCAGAACATTAATCCAATAAGGTCCTGCTTATAAGACGGACAGTTTATTACGTTCACATGCTATTAAGATTATTATTAAGTTTCTTATTGAGCCTTTATTATATCAGAATTTTGTATTGATATAGTTTTGGATACAATTTTGTTGAATCAAATGTATGATAAACAACTACTTTAGTTTAACCTTGTAACAGCAAAATAACTTATCAATAAGGTTGAATAATATAGAGAAATAATAATTTGTATATGACAGACAATAATAATAATAGCCAATTAAGTCAGACGATGGCTTTTTGCGTTTTGTTAATAAAAAATAATTTTATTAAATATCTAAATAGTCATTATGCAGCACTTCAAGTTTCCTTCGCAGTCAGTAGCTCCATCAAAAACAAGACTGGGATTGCAATATTCTTCTGGTTTCGTACAAACTCCTCCATGTTTAAGACAACGAGTTTCCTTCATTGAAACTGTAAACATAAAATAAATATGTATCAGACTATATATGTATATTTAAATTATATTGACATAATTATTAATAAATATATATATAATGGAATAAAGTTACCTCCGTGGCAACAGTCGATGCCTTGTTTGCGTTGCGTCGGACAAAGTCCTTGTCTCTCAGCTAGATGTCCCTTAGGACAGTCTGCAGCTACTGTACAAATACCGCCTACCGCAATACAAGATTGCTCTTGTATTATTGAGTCAATTATTCTAACTGGAACAAGAGTTCACATTAAAGCTATATATTACTGGATAAATGTTTAATCTTATTTTACAATGTATGTATTATACTATTGTTTTTACTATAACATGAAATTTTATTAGAATAAATATATGTCAAAATTATGTTTTATGTAACAAATAATTAATCAATTAAAATCAAATGAATACACAAATCAAGTATATATACAACTAGCTTTCCGCCCGCAGCTTCGCCGCGTGGAGTTCGGTTATATCGCGTTTCCAAGAGAACCTTTCAAAAGTCTGGGATAAAAACTATCCTATGTTCTTTCTCAAGGTCAACTCTATCTCTGTACCGAATTTCATTAAAATCAGTTCAGTGGTTTAGGCGTGAAAGCGTAGCAGACAGACAGACAGACAGACAGAGTTACTTTCGCATTTATAATATTAGTAGGGATGAAAGCCAGAAGTCTGTGTGTCCCAGTACACTATCTATGGTATTTCTGGGAAATATATTAGCTCTAGTAAAATAAACAAAACATTCCTCAATATTTTTTAAGTGAGAAGTCATATTTCACCAAATAAGAATTTTAAAATAATAGTACATATACATATAACGGCAACTTAATTTAAAATAACAAAAATCACAAAATCTTCACAATCTATAAAATAAAATATTTTATGACATTATTTGCAGTAAGAATAATATTGACAAAGATGGAATTTACTCCCTACAGGCTTCTATATACTTCAAAGCTATTTTTTTCACTTTGGAAGTTGGAAATGAAATCCTAGGTGGTTTACGTACTATGTCAGTAATAAGTATCAGTCTATTCATTCTTTTTCGAAGACACCCAAATTATAATTCGAACGATACAGCAAATTGTTCAGATCTGTTTTCGTCCGAACGGGGAAGGAGAACGCGTATCGTTTCATCTGAATGCGAGGAAGATCTACAACGAAAGATTGGAGCCTCTCTGTGGGCCTAGTTGTACGATGATAAAAAGGAAATGCGGGAATTAAATCGTACATTCGTACATTCAATTCGTACCCTCTTCAGAGTGTGTGTATGTAAAAATAATTAAAAATGACTGCAATCTTTACCATAAAAAAGGTTCGTATGATTTTCATTATATTGTTAAAAATTAAGAAGTGCAAAAGCAATTAAGGTCTAATTGAGTCACAAATATAACTTAATAAAATAGATAGCATTTATTACATTGTGTACATACATATTATACTAACCATTGTGTATTATTAAGATAACAAGACATTTTAGTAGTAAATAATCAATTATAAATAATCTGTCCTTGAATTTCAGATGCTTGAAAAATAATCATTACAGTCAGGAATGAGCAAATTACTAAACTACTTTTTACAACTGAAATATCAAATCAAATACAATATCAAATTGAAATAAAAGGGTCGCCATAATCGGAAAATAACATTTATTTTTAAAAGTCTTAATAGCTGGGGCTCCTTACTAATATTAGGTACGTAATATTCTAAAGGACATACTACTTTATGTATATTTGGAAACAGTGCATGTTCGGTCGGTGAATGAGTTACTGAAATGTAAATTATTCTAATTTATTATAATTTGCTAAATGAATTTCTAACGTTTTTTTTTAAAGATATTTTTGAATAAAGAGCGTGATATTATTCCAACATAATTTTTACATACAAAATATTTTGCTATAAGCTTCCAAGAAAAAAATATTTCACTGAGTATATACATTATACTCATCACCTAAATAATAATACGCATTTATATTATTATTGCAATCTTGTATTATTCCGTGAACTATAAACTAGTTCCTCATTATACTATCATCCGATATACACATATGTATATATACCGTTTTATACCGATATATACCGTTTTATGACTGATTCATTGATATTATTAAACACTTAAAGCTTGCCAATATTATATAATACTGTTCTATGGTATCAAGAATTTTATCAATTGTAGAAGAGGCTGCTAAAACTATCTAATATTAAACCAATCACTAAGGACATAAAGTCGAAAATCCTTTGTGCTGTATTTAAAAGTGAAATTGGTTTTGTTGATTATAGAACAATGACACAATTGGAAGACAAAGACGATTGAATAATGATTGTTATCCTTGTTAATAGTTCAGTGCATTCAATTGTTTTATTGAATGGTCTTTCATATATGTATCGAATTATACAAAAATAATGAAAAGTATTTCAATGAATTGATACATCATATAGTATTTTGATATAAGTACATTATTTGTTTAATAGATATTTAATACCAAAAAGCTACCCGCAGAACTAATTATTGTGTATGTCAATAGTGTACATACATATATGTACTTTTATTCGTGCTATTTAATACACATAAACGAGTAAATATTTGCATTCACATTGATTTGAAGTTAATAGGGAAATAATTCAGTGGTATTCATTGTAATTTGTTACAAATTAGTTGATTAATTATCTTACGCGTTATTCTTCCGTTATACACATAAGAATAGTTTAAAATCAATTTCATATTTCTATATAAGAGTATGTTAAAACGAAACGGAACTCATTAATATTATTATTGTGGAATGATTGTCAAGTATAATAAATCAAGCGTGATATTAATATACAACAGATGATCGGAATTGACGGTATTCAGAGATAAAACCAATAGTAACAAAACGTGGGACATATGCCTCATTATGTGATTAATTTAACTAGAAATTAATATAAACCAAAATTTCATTTAAATATTTTGAAAACACTGCGGTTTGATTAATTTGCTGATAATTAGATATCCACATAAAATTGAATATCAATTTTTTTTATTGAGATATGTTAATTCAAAATTCCTTCGAGAATTTCTTTTTCAAAACGATTGAAAATATTCATAGCCTTCAATGAATATATGATAAGTGAAATAATAATAATAATAATTTACCAGAAATACAAAAATTATTACTCACATATATATATATATATATAGTTGCTTCTTAAAATAATAAAATGTTTAACATTATAATAATTTACTGTTTAGAACAATATAGCAAATAAATAATGATACAGTTTAAAAGTTAATAGTATTTATTTATAAGACAATATACTTACAGTCTTCTTCATTACCGCTTACAACAGCAACAAGAAATAAAACCAACACCGTAAACTTCATAGTAACGTCTGAGATAGCGTCGGTCACGATACAAAGTGACGCGTACAAAGTGTCACAGAGGCAGAAATCATTGATAAGATTATGATATAATTATTGCAAATGATGCACCATTCTGACACAAAGTTCGTTTATATTAAATATTTAAATAAAATTATTTTAATATACCTATCATTAAAATACGGTTCAGCAAAATACAGTAGAAATTCTATTAACCGGACTAATTGTTGTCGATAGGCATTCGGATCAAAAATCCGGATAATCGAATGTATGAAAAAAAGCCGGTTTTGTGCTTATGTAGTATATAATATTATATGTTTATATAAAAATAAATTACAATATGTATTTGGTAATTTGAAATTGGAATCATGAATTAAAATAATAAGTTTCATTGGGTATAGAATATTTGGTAATTGTTATTTGACGTACGCCACTCTCAACAACACCACTCTCTTTCACTTTGACATTTTTCTTGTCCGGAGTCCGGATAATCGCGAAATCGTATAACTGAGGACCGGATAATCGAGTTTCTACTATATACATATTTACCAAAAAAGTTTGACTAGTGAAATCTACACATTGGTGATTGAATTCAGGAGCACCATGAGCAAATAAATGTTTTTTATATTTATTATCACACTCGCCTTACTTTACTTACGTGCCCTAATATACAAGAATATCCCAATAAGCTAAAAGAATAGAAGACCAAGAAGACGAAGATTGATTACATCAGCGACTCCAATAAATAATTGAAGAATGACCACGATTTCAATTGTAATTTTCGATCTTAAATCAAAGTAGTAGGGTTCATTTTCTAAATCAATAATACACTTCTCATCTTAATCCTTTATTGTTTGTGATGGATCTTGTCTCTAGTATCACCTGAACATCATGATTAATGACTGGTTTTGTTTGTTGTGTGACAGAGAGCGATGTTGAAATGAGATGGTTAGTGTTTTAATAATCATTTGCTTAAAACATGCGTATAAATAATATCTCTGTAGATTTTTATTTCAACAAAAATAAAGAAAATTTTCTAATAAATTAAAAGAATGTTGGTAGGTACACAAAAATATTATATTTTCATTTTAAGAAACCAGAGAAGCATTTAATTGAATGGCTTCAAAATAACATTGATGGATTACTCTAACTTCAATTGTCTTTTTTGATATCACAAAAAAAGGGTGAACGGTCTTTAGATCTTCGGCAGAAAAATGTTCATTTATTTTTTCGTAGACTGCTACTATACAGTCATTACTTTGATGTTTTATATTATTTAATGTAATATTATAAGAATTATTGTAAGAATTTATATTAATAAAAGATCACCTTCAAAACTGATTGTGATACAAATATAATACACATAGGTTTATATATAACTCATATAATTTAAATTTGTGATAGTCACCAGTGGCGGCTGTACCTTAAGTGCACTCGTGCGCTGAACCACCAATTTAAAAGATAAAAAAAATACAAAATATTTCTTCATATTTATTTTTAAATTATCATTTTAATATTTATTTATCAAACATACAAAAACGTATAAAAAATTAAATTTCCATATATGGTACAAAAAGTTTGAGCGCTTTACTAAACTAATATCTCGTGCACTTCGGCGAGTGCACGAGGACTGCTAATACATTTTGTATGAAACACGAATTATTACGCCTGACGCGTGAAACAAAATATAGTTCATAGAAATGTACCGCGTAATGAGTCGGTTCTCAAGCGCCGCACGAGCGGCCGAAGGTTACCGAGTGCACCCGATGTATGACGAATTGGAATTGGAAAGAATCAAAACTTTTCTCCGAAATACCATGCACTTGCTAAATGGACTTTCTGTGCTTAGTATTGAAAAAAAAATTATACAAACAATACCCGATTTTAATAAAAAGGTGATTGAACATTTCGCTTCAGAAAAATGTCGTCGCATTGATTAAATGTATAAAAAATAGACATATTTTATATCAATTGCTGTTTTGTTGCATTTTCTAATTTTAATATTTTAGTAAAGTGCACCACAAGTTCGATAGCCCACCAGCCACACTTAGTCACAAAAGGCTTTCTTAGATTCTATTACTATACTTCGGATTAGGTATTTATGTATAACAAAGAGTGTTCTACATACTCTCCCTACTTATTCAGTAGTATTACTATTTTTTCCGACTATTTGACATAAAGACAAAACATTTAGATCTTTATGAGGAGTTTTATAAATTATGGGTTTTATAAAATCAACAAATGAATCAACAAAATTTATGAAATGAACAAAATTCGTAATTCCTAAGGATATGTACCATAAAAATTAAAATAATTCATGGTACATATCCTTAGGAAGATACATAATATGACGAACTTGTTAAGGTTTTTATATATTGTTATGACCGATGTATTTTATATATTACATTAAATAAAAATAATTATCGATATGAATGAAATAAAGTAAAACAATAGCTTTATGTCATGCGATATATTCTGTAATATAAATACATTATTACTTAAAAATGTTTTTATGTTTAATTTTATTCCTAAAGTATTGTTATTAGATGGTGACCATAGAGAAAAACAGACGTTTATCATTAACACTAATATGTTGAACACAAAATTCTTTCAACTATTTATATCTGTAATCCATGCAAAAAAAGGTTCGAGCAATGGCTAAAACGGTTAAAGAAAATTATAATTTACTTTCGTATTCAAATAAAAGGTAAAATATGGTGATATAGCTCAATATCTTTTTTAAATTATTTTCAATGAATAATAATTGTGTTATTGGATGGTAATTATCCAGGATTATTGTCTTATGTCTATTGTCTATTGTAATATTACTTCATATACAAAGTGAAATTGTTGCTCGATTACTAATATAATACTAAAACACTGGGTTTAACTTAACAACTTATGTTGAGATAAACTTAGTATAATCATAAGATCATGGCCAGAGCAACCTGACTAAAACATCAAGGAAGACAAAAAATACATGATTGCATTATTACACTATATTTGTTATTTGACTAACGTATGTCATTTCTATTGCAGATTTTCTTTAATACTGTTTAATTTTAAAGAACAATTAATAAAATCAGACATAAAAAACATATCAGCCTATTATTGAGAGCAATTATAAAAAACGAAACAGAATTATAGGAAAAAATCCTATTTAAATACATATATATATCACTCATAAACATACCAAGACTTTCAAAGCCTTTCATATCATTCCTTTTTATCCCTTTGTTCACTGAAAAGTTTCTTTGACGGGATTGAAAACGACTAGTTCGAATAAACCTTTAAATCTATTTTATACATATAACACGAACAATTAGTATATTCTTCAACATTAAATTCAAACCAATAAAAAATTATAATGCCATTATGAATATGTATTTATAATTAAATGAAAATATATTATGGCAAATAACACGTTATTTAAACTTTATCTAAACTAAAAGCATATACAATTCTCTTTATCAAAGAATGTTTATTCAAATTCGTGATATCTATACGACGTTTAAACCTAATTTGTCTGGTTTACGCGAGCATTAGCCATAGATTTGCCGGGTCGTTTATCATCATCAAATCCCGAGATCCCGCTTGCAAGATCTTAGATATTCGTGACATGGTTTTTATAAAGTTTTATCTTGTTTCGACCATATTTCGTAGTATAATGAGTTTATAACTGAACTTTTGTTATAAGTCAACCATTTTGTCAATGCGTGCAGTGATATAAAACTTAAAAAATAATACTGTAAACATTTAAAAATAAAGAAGAGTTTAATTAATTCTAACTTGTAAATATTCTAGGAACCAAAACGAATACGAATTTTCAAAACTGTCAATTTGCATATTTTATTATCAGATTTTATTTACTGAGAAAGAAAACGTGAAAAATGGCACTTTGGAGCTATTCCAATCTTTGCATAGGTTTGGTTAGGTCAGGTTTAGAACGTTTGTTTGGTATATTGCATTTCAAAAAAGAAATAAAATTGCTAATAAATGGTATTGCTTACTGTGGTTTTCACCAGATACTACATAACATTACAATATTTATTATATCAATAAAGATTTATCATAAGGATTTTTTACATTTATGTAAAAAATCATTATTTAATCATTATATATTAAGTACTTATACTCTCGTATTAAATAGTAGTACTTTCATGAGATCATCTCATCATCAGACATCTCGTCTGCCCGAGATCACGGTTGCTGTAAGGTAACTGAAATTTCGGGAGCATGTTGTTTATAATGAAAACTAAAAATCGCGTAGTACATACTAGTTTCATTAATACGAATACACCGAAATATACTAGTTTCATTTAGTACTTTCACACACGTGATATGTACATGTATATTTAAAAAAAAAATGCTTCATGTAAAAATCATATAAGATCTTTTGATACATCTACAGGGTGACTGGTGAATTACTATCAATATTTAAGGACGTGGTAGTTGACGATCATATATGACAAAATAAAAATTAATATAACATAAATATTAATAAACTTCTGAGTAAAGTTAACCTAAAGTTATGTAATTAATTACGCATCGTGTGAACACCCTACAGATTAGGTATACACTGACACTCACACATACGCGTGTCGTGACGTAGTGTTGTATCAGCACGCCCCCGCACGCGTCCACACTTGAACACTTGGAACGTGTCAACACTTTATTTATTTATACGGAAATTTGGTCAAAAATTAAGTACCTATTTTTTTTACATAATTCTAATGTGAATCATGTACCGAGTATGCTCCTTAAATATTGATAGTAATTCACCAGTCACCCTGTATATATTGTACTCTTTTTTTTCTCATCCTGTCTGTGACATGTGTATAATATATTCAGTTAACCTACAAAATATAATAAACAAAATTAGAGTTTTGTCAAGCTATTCATAGTCAACTAAATTCAATTCATATTAGTGGTATTGGAATAACATCTTTATTTTATTTTTTTGAACATAAGATGTAATGAATATTGACTTTTGTACATCAAAA